TTTTCAGTGTCTTCTTGTAAGCACAGTGGATACCATCAAAATCAAACACTTTTCTGTCCCTCACCTGTCCCCAGCTAAAATAGCAAATAAGAACCACATGTTCTGTGTGCGTCTCTGTCTAAGCCCAGTGTCCAAGGCATGGATGTAAGGAGAGGCTCACTCCTGTTTGATTTGCTCTTGCCACCTCCTCAGTGCCCATCCCAGGATTTACAATAGCCTGCAAAGCGTGGTGGGTGACTGCCATGGGTGCAGCCTGGTGGAAGTAGGCAGTGGGCACTGAATTTCTCACCTCTACCATCTCTGGCTCACGGCTTTTACTGGAGGAAAAGACAATAAAGTCTCTCAGGGCAGAAGTCCTTATCTGCTATCTACTTGCTCACAGTCCCAATTTGCCTGAATTCCACTTGCTCCTCTTGTTACCTTAGTCCTTCCTTTGTCCCAGAAGGCTTTCCTGCTTTTCCCTGTTCTTGGATGTGTAAGTGCAGGAAGTGYTGATGTGTTACAGCTCAAAGAGAGCTCCCAAGCGCCTCAGGCTCACAGAAAATACAATGTACCAGGAGCAGAGGGCACTGCAGGCCCCCAGCTTTGCTTTGAGTCATTAACTGACCTTTCCTAATATCCATGGTGTTCATCCCCAGTCTCTCACGTGTGAGTTAGGAGGTTATCAGTGGCCTGTGATAGCACAGTGTGTGGAAGGAGCTGATGCTGTGAGGAAGGTTGTGTGGGCACTCTGCTGTCTCGGATGTGTCTGCACAGATAAACCAATGCTGTTTTTCCCTCTAACGACAGCTCATGTTCCTGGGACACAGTTCAGAGGATGAGCYGGCCACAACACTCAGGAAACATGCAAATGTGCTGTGCTCAACTTCTGTCAGACTGGACTTTTGAGGTGGATGGAGAGATGGCAGATATTGATGCTGGAAAATTGCATTGTGGTGAGCAAAGTCCTGATGCTCCCAAAGTATTCAGGGGTTTGGCCACTGCCTTGTGTTTGTAGAAAAAACACACTGGGGCTCTGGAGTTACTCGTAACCTGCTGCCCATGTCAGCAGGTCCCTGCTGCCAAGCCACCCTCTGTGTTTCCCTGACACAGCAACACCACTGGCATCAGCAGTTCGGCTCAGAGGCCAACCTTGCACCTACATTGCATCTCTCATCCCAGGGGTAATGCCTGGCCTGAGCTACAGCCTGGCAGGACAGCAAACAGGGCATGGAGAGAGGGGAAAAYAATAAAAGAGAGATGTCTGGGCCTGGGTAGGGAAAGGAATTTGGAGCAGGAGTGAGGAAGGACATCTGGGAACCAGATTCTTCYCTTTGAGCCCACTGCAAGGAGCTGGCTTGGTTAAATGAGAGACGTTCYTGTTTCTCTGCTGAAAGCTGCAAAATGTGATAAGAGTAGGTGATCTAGGGTTGTAAGAAGAGGTGACATCTAGGGAAATCATTGTGCTTTTCGTGCCTTTTAGCTCGGTGAATAGTCTTACAACCCTTTTAGCACAGTGAGGCAAAATTTGAGACCCTGCGTTGACCTCTGCACTGCTTGTTCTGTAATGAATGTTCCTTGGGGTGGTGAGGGGGATCTGTGGAACTGACTGCTGTTCAGTGGCAGGRTTAGCAAAAGTAAAGCAAATTTTCATCAGAGCAGAGTGGGTTGATGGGGCTCAAGAGTGGATTACCATCAGAGCTGCTCTGAGCCGCACACCAGAAATTCAGGGATGGACAAACAAGCCAGGCAGTGAAGCTCTCTGCTGTTTTTCTCTCTTTTGACTCACAGCACAGACTGAGCCAGGGGATAGCTGTGTAGGCGTTGCAGAAGTTCACGTGAGTGGATAGTCTCTGGCATGAGTAATTTGTTGGACCGGGTTGGCTTATGTTTGCTTTTTGTCGAACTCACKTTGGCTGAGCCAAAGATAGCATCCCTTTTCTTTTTAAACCCATTTTTCCATATTTTGCTGGCTGGAAGAGGGGGCTCACAAGCGACATGTCTGCAACAATGCCATAAATCCAGACAGAAATAGAATTAGCAGTTGCCTCTGGTTCCGGTGTTTGTATCTGTGAGCTTACCCAGCCCGGGCTCCGCGGAGCAGAGTCTGTGCAAACCTGTTGTGTCTTGGGACCTGGCGCGAGGGTTTCGTTCCAGAACAATATCATAAAACTTTTATAGCAGCGTCATGACAAAGAGCATGGGAAGAGGAATAACTTAACCCTCTCTTGCTAAAGTTGGTGTTGCAAATGCTCCAGTTAGCCCACACAGCAAATCTTTTGGCTGAATGTGGAGCACGATGGGGGGAGAGAAAGTTCAAGATTTATGGGGAAGGGGAARAGAGAGCAAGCAGAAACCTGTCTTTGTGAGGATTACCATTTCTTAAATGTCTTTAAAGTCCATTCCTGCCTGAGTAGGCCCTGGCACACATTGGTAGTATCATTTGTTGGCACTGTTGTACTGCATTATGCTCCAGCATTTGTAGAGTTGGGCTCTTAATCTATGTTGATTATGTTTTAATTGAATAAATAAATCAGAGCCCAGAATCAATAGAGATGCTTCTATGCTATTTTATTTTTATTTTTCTAGGTTTCCTAAGGACATTTAACTTTTACAACCTTATAACTTGTTCTGCGGCATTTGCTAGTCAGCTATTGCATAATTGTTCTGGGGAATGAGAACCTGGGAATAATATGGCCCAGAAATGCTAAGAAGCAGAAATGAAATTGGCTGATCTTCTCATCTGCCACCATTCCTTCTCTCCAGGGTCAGGGAACCTAGCAGGTCCTGTGTGGACTCCAGTGTTATTCCTGGGTCTGCCATTGGCTTGATTTATCACCTCACATGTTGGGGCCTTGGATGCCCTTTGCATCTCCCCTCTCCTTTCCAGGCTGACTTTTGGCTGCTTAGCTTCAAAATTATCTGGAGTGGAGCAATCACAGTTTTTCTGTCTGGGAAGCCTGTGGCAGTTACAGGCCAGCAACTGAAAGATGGAGAAAAACCAAACAAGGTACATGATGTGGAAAAGAAGTTGTGCTTCAGCAGATTTAAAAATCCAGGTGCTACAGTTAGCCAGGAGTAATGGTCTGGGCTTATTCCTGTGAAAAATACTTCTTTTTTTGAACAACAGCTTGGATGGAAAGACTGGCTCTATAATAAAAATAGTCAAGAAGAGTTGAGTTCGTAAGTATTTTCTAACCTGAATCTCAAACTTTTAAATGGTGTGTTTTTGCATAAACCACACTGGAGCTTCCCTTTTCTTATTAGTCAAGCCAAATTTATTGTAATCCAATAAGATTTAATAATCATTAGGAACTAATGAATGCTTCAGCACGTATAAGTTTGGCAGATCAGAGGCTGCCTACTTTGCATAGTCTGTCTCTCTTTGACCARCTTGCCATTTATGTGTCAGATTGATGACTGGGGAGTTCTTTAAAACAGGTAATGTTCAAATGCTCCTGAAATGAAATTTAAATAAAAACTATCTGGAGCAGCCAGTGAGCCAAAGTGAAAGGCAAATTTTTGGCCTGGAAAATTGAAATAACTTGGTGAGAGTGAAGGCAAACAGAGCTGGATTGTCTGTGGAAAGGTGCTGGTATGGTCTGAACAGGCTTTGCAGTTGAAATTAGGTGAGTTGTTAGGTAATTCTTTAGTATTTTTATTACTGAAGTCATCAAACTCTGAATGAGCTCTTCTGCACTGAGCTCTGTGGTTGCACGTACTCAGACAGACTCTGTCCTGTCCGGGGAATTTACAGATAGGTAAGACAGGGAAGAAYAGAAGAAAAATATCTCAGGTTGAGAAAAGACTGTCAGTGAARTATTTCACTTGACTTTGGTGTCTGTGATGCCCTGATGGTGGGCTGGCTCAGTGGAGATAGCTCCTGGCACCTACTTCACACATGGAAGGGATCCTCAGCTGTCCCTAGTGGAGCTGCCTAATTCCCAAAGCACTGAAAWCATTGAGGAGGAAGATGTTTCCTGGCCTTTACCTGCCTTGGTGCCCTGTCAAGAGGTTGTGCTGTTGGCTTGGGCTGTACAGCATTGAGTTCCTTCCCATAGGTTCTGGACTGAGTTGATTTATCAAAAACAAAGCATGTGAATGAGTCCTCTTTAAAATGTTTATTCTAACAGGAATTGCAGTGCTGCCCTAAAACAGTGGCTTGAGGGGGTCACATGCTGTGCTGAGTTCTGGGTTTTACTTTTTGAGGTGGTGATGAAAAATTATGTTTCTTCCCTTCCAGGTGAGCCTCCCTACCCCCCTGGGTATAAATGGGGCTGGGTTTTTTTAAAAGCAGAAAAAAAGCAAATGTATTGAATTAGAAAGCGTCCTGTATACATGTTGGCATTTGCTCTGGGCATGGGTTTTTCTGCAAGGAAGCCTTTTCACAAGGACCTTACTTAACGTTATTTTGAGACTGTTTGTTGTAAACCGTCAATCTGCTAGAAATGGATTGGACTTTTTCACTGCTCCTTGAAGAAGCTCATTTTTCAGGTAGTATTTGTGAAGAAGTGTTGAATCAGACAGGTACACCTACCAAGAATTGATTTAAAATAAGAGTAGGTGCACATGGCCACTCACTGGCTACTGTGGCTTGTAGCTCTGCTCTGTGCTTTGCCTGGGATGGGGACATGGCAGAGGAGCTGGTGTCAGGATCCAGGTGCTCCAAGCCTGTCCCCAGCTCTGCCTTCCCAGACAGGTATCCTTTTAAAGYACATCTTCTTCACCTTATSKTGTGGGGATTGTYCTRCCTCTTCACCTTGGCAGKGGATTGCTGAATTGCTAATCCTCCAAGTCAGTTTAACACAACTTGTGGCAAAAACAKGAAGAAAAGCCCCAAAGCAGCATAAATTCCTGTGAGATGGAGGCGTGCTGTTAGTTCTRGAGGGAGCTATAGCATTTCAGCATGTTTTTTTGCTGCAAGTTATTGCTGGGCACGGGTGCAGCTYCGTGAGGACAGTAAGAAACCATGTGCCAGGCCAAGTGGTTTGAATAACCAGAACTTTTCTTCCTTCTTTAAGGTGAATCCCAGTGGCAAGACGCTGGAGGAGAGGCGGTCCAGTTTGGACGCGGAGATCGACTCTCTGACCAGCATCCTGGCYGACCTGGAGAGCAGCTCTCCCTACAAACCTCGCACTCAACAGGTTAGTGGCGTAAACACGGAGCGGGAAAGGGGCCAGCATCGACTTCTGGAGTCAATTTGCTAAGTGCTTGGTATTTGTTGCGAGCAGGCCTGCCAGCCCCTCCTGATAGCATCCAGATGTGGCTGTCAATGGGGAGAAGGGCGCAGCTGCTCCGAGGGGGCACCGGCTCAGAGCAAAAGGCCTCTGATCCCCATTGTCAGATCGCCACGGAGATTGGTAGAAAAATACTTGCAAGAAGTGGCATTTCATCYGCCTCAACTTTCGACCGACAATGGCTTGTGGATTAAAACCTGCTCRGTTCACAAGTACTTTTGTGCTTTTATTTTCTTGTTGTTTTTCTGTTCTGTTAAGTCTTGTCTGTCGCGCTGCCAGTAGGATCCAGATATGAGCATCTCACGAAGTGGCTTGGATTGGAGCTCAGCTGTCAGGGTGGCTGTAGCCCAGCAAGGCAGACTGGAATTCGCACTTCTCTGCTGTGTCTAGACGAGGACTGCAGGGGTGACAGAGAYTTGGCTAATTTTTGTCACTCATCTAGGTAGTGCTTGAGTGGAGCTATTTAAGTTCTGGTGAGATGTCRTCTATTTATCAGAGGAAGTGGTGACACCCCAGTGGCACTTTAAAAAGGGTGATTCTTGAGATCTCATAAAATCATCCTAGATATGTTTGTGCCTTGTCTTTCCTTCCTAGTCTCACGACTGGTCTCATTTGTTGCACGTGTATGTGTCTATAGGATATATGCAGCTATATGTATGCTGTATTTACCTTAGTAAAACCCCAAAAATTGAATGTATCGAAGGAGTAAGTGAGTGATGTGTGCACACCCACTATCCATACAAGCCTTCTCTTTGGTTTATGTCTTTTTTGCTTCTTTTCATTGCTGCATTTCTTTTAACTAACTGAGAAGCGATACTTTTGAAGAAGAACTAAAGTAGTGACCAGAGTCTGTTTAGATTTTCTCTTGTTTAAGTCTGTGAATGATGCAAAAGCAGAGTGAAATYAGATTTGTCCACTTTTGAGAGTGTCCCCCTGCACACAGAGGTGCTGTGTTTCCGTCCTTTCTGCAGGGATCTCCCTATAAATTTATCTTTCATTTTAGTAGCATGTGCACAGTTATTGCAGAAACTTACAGACTTGTCCTTGAAAAAGAGTCTAATTTGGATTAGTCAGAGAAAAAGAGCAGTAATGTAAACCAGAAACAATTCAGCCCTTTTTCCAGTGGGTTTTTGTTGCAGTAAATGAGATGAGTTCTGCTCAGGCACCATGGTGAATAACCCATGTTCAGTTTGTTTGCATGGGCCAAGYGCACACCAGTGCACACTGTTACTGGGGAATGCTTTATAGAGCCAAAACACTGCCAGGGTTAAATGAAAGAGATTTGTGCTTCCCGTTATCCTCAGCAATGCCCGCAATTGGCTCCAACAACTTTGTAGGGATCCATTACTTTTGTATTCCCTTCATGGAGCATCTGCAGTTTGCTGACAGTATTCCCTGATGCTTCTTTCTTTGGGATATGGGGTTCTGTGAATAGGTTGTTTCTTCTCTTTTATTTTATACCTTTGRCATTAAAAAAAAATAAAATCACAGCATTCAAATGCAGACTTCTGCTGGTGTATTGGAGTTTTTGGAGGATTTGAAGTCATAGCCCAAGTTTGGGACTCGATCTGAGTTCTGAAGCTCATCACCATCCAAGATGACGTGCTCATTCCTATTTATGCACATTCTCGTTCCTCTGACTTTCTGTCACAACCCAGGTGGGGGCTCTGCAGATTTGTCCCCTGCACCCACGAGCACCTGAATGTGAGGCTCCCAGGTGCACTGTGCACTGTGTGCGACCTGGTGGGCAGAAGAAGCTGAACTCCATCTCTGGGAAAAAAAATCCCAGCTTGATTTGTTTAATCTGGCTTTTCAGCATCTCCTGGTCAGTGTAATGATGTCCTGTGAAAAGTACTGCTGCAACAACGTCTAACTAGAGCTGCTAGAGAAGGAAAATGCCAGAGTTGGATGTATCCTCTGCTGTAATTAAAGAGTACTCGAACAAGTCCTTGAAAGGTGGAACTAGAACGTAAAGCTTTGATATTTTCCTTTGTTTGATCTGTACTAGGTATTAAAACTGGTGAGTCATTTGATGGTCTTATAGTAGGATAATAGATTAGGCTGCAAATTGTAAGGTACTTACTCAGAACATCAGCACATTTATTGGATTACACCTTAGCTGACCTTCCCAAATTTATCAGGATAATGGCTGCAGATAGGAAAAAAGAGCTACAACTTGTTTTCAGAGAAGGCGTTTTCAGTTGTGCTTATGCAGTTAAAGCATTATAATAATTTTATAGGAATACCTTGCCCTTGGGGATWCTCTCATTCTTGAATAAGAGAAACTTTATTGTTAGGTTTCTTTTTTTATATTATCTTCAAGACAGTTATAATAAACGTAAGATAAATCGTAATGTMGTCCTCTCTCACTGGGGTAGGAGTGAAAGCAGGGTAATGACAAGCAGTTTATTTAACATACCCTGCCCGTTGGCATAAATTCACACAAAGGGAAGCTCTTTTGATCCTTGGTATGGGTTCAAGATTGCAGAGACACACACTGCACCCGGAGGTGTCTGTGACACAGAGATGTAATGTTTCTCAGAAAAGGTGAGCCAACATCAACCCCAGACAACGTCCTCTAGCCCTTGCTATTGAGGACATGGATGAGTGTGAAYCTCTGCACCATTCCTGCATTGCTTACCTGTGTGTGACATTTTCTGTGTGCTGGGCAGGTGACAAGGACACTGCCATGACCTAAAACTCACCACTGTTAATAGAAGGCAGGGGGAGAGCTTGGACACCTGTGGTCAGCAGTGCCCTCCTGGWACCCGGTTGTCCTGCCTAATTCAAGGCAACTGAGTAGGAAAGCAAAGGTCACCTAGGCTAAGTCCATGTCTTGCAAGCCAAAATCTCTCTGACTGACTCACAGAAGCAGTCAGAARTGATTAAAATACCGCTTTTTTTCCTTTCTAAATTGCACATATCTAAAAGCAAAGAAAATTAGGAAACTAAATCACTATGTTTAGCCTCAACATAGCAGCATCAAAGGATGTTTTCTGTCATGTAAGGTGGTGCAGGAGAGACTGTATTTAAAGAATTCAGCTAGAGCTGAAGTTTTAGAAAGGATCTGTGTGACCTTCACCAGCATGACCAATTCCAGCCCTSTGGTACAGTAACTTGAAATGGGCAAGACAACCAACATGATGTCAAAATTGCCATGACTGCAGTGGCTTGTGAGGTTTAGCTTGCCTCGGGTATCATTGGAAGAACTACAGATGGATTATGAAAAAAAAAATCTAATTAGTATTTCCTTCTGTTTGGTAAACTTTGGAAGTACTGGTGTGATGGGTAAAGTACAGAGCTCCTCTTGTGCAGCTGCAATGTGCTTCTGCACAATTGTACAGTATGTACAATGTACATATCACACCTTCTGAACTGCAGTAACTCATTGGAGAGTTCACAGGCAGAGAACCCACTGTGTCTTTCATTAGCAAAAGGAGGCATTAGTAAAAGACAAGATATTAGGTGCTTAATTTCCATGGATGAGAGCAGAGGTAAGTGATAAATTGTGTGAACCCCCTAAGTAGAGGCCTAGTGAATGCTGTGRTCATCTGGCTCCTCTGTTAAAGATTATTTTCCCCAGTTTTTATCTGTTTTGCTTAAATTCTTGTGTAAGAGATCAGTGCAGCAATACCTTAACCAAAAAAAAACCCCAAACCAGACATGCCAAATTTCAGCCCATAAAATGAATGTTTACATTTTTTGAAAAACAAGAAAACTTTGTGRCTCTGGAGAAAGGGCTTCCAGCAGAGACTGTGAAAATGAAATACTGGAAATAGCAGCACACGTAAGCTCAGGATTTTTTGTCCCTGCTGTGAATTATGTATTGAATGCTGATTKCTTTGTCTGGAATTGGACACCTACCTTCCAAAACTCTTGTTTTATCCCGAAATTCCAACAGAATGTCTGTTTGGCAAAACAGCACTTTGCGGGAGGTGTACCAGGTAATRAGATGTACCTGGTCTGATGATATTTAAGCCTTTTCTAAAAGCAAATATTCTGTGGCCAGTATTTGTGAGGTATTTAAATAGCAAAAAAATCTTGCTTGACTGTACATCATGGTCAAGATGAAATCTACTTGTGCMCAGCTCTCAGAGGCAGCTTGATCCAGAGGGGACTGGCTGGCACTCTGGAGACCTGTTTGACTCCCAGCAACCACGACTGTGCTCAATGACCTTGAATGCAGTGTTTCCCCTCTCCTTCCTCTCAAAATCTCTTCTGTCCTCGTAGCTTGGCAACCTCTTCAGTGTGATTTGCCTCTTACTCACCATGTGGCGATGTGGAATATTGGCCTGGGCTGAAGGCCTTTAGGTGACGTGGTTGTACAAACAGGTGGGGAAATGAAGGCAGAATTAGGTGAGATATCTGAGGACTCATGCCCATGTCCCTGCCCCTGTGTCATTGCCCCCAGTACTAGACATCTGTCACTATCCAACACTGGAAGCCAAATTGAGTARTTTTTTTGAAGTAGAAGAAGCTCATTTTCAATGTGAGCTACAGAACAATGAAAATGTAAGGAAAATTAAATTAAAAAATCAGTGATACGTTTTCATTAAGTTTCAAGCATACTGGGAAATAATTTCCTTTAATGACTGAAATTTAAAAGGGGTTTAAATGTTTGACAGCACTGGTTGTTATTCTATCACTTCTTTTGACAACCATTTGGGGATAATAAAAGCAGTGAAAAGGCAATGRACCTATTTTCTTGCAGAGTGGTGGAGCAGGATTGAACAATTTCAGCTGTAGGATGGCTAACCACAAAACAAAGCAAAATGTTGAGTGCTGAACACTCCTAGGAGGACTCTTCCTGTGAATTTCTAATTTTAGTGCCCCACTTATAGCTGTGTCAGGAATGCATGGCTGAGAGTTCGGATGTTTTATCTTGGTTTATGCAGAGCCGTGTCTCC